ACCGGTGCAGGGGGGCCAAGTGCCCTGTCCCGTTCCCAGAGCCCGGGGAGGATCAGCAGCACACAGAACCCTGCTCTGCCTCCGCCTCCAGCTTTTGGCTTGGCTGCTGAGGAACAAAGGCACTGGCACCTGGTGTCCACAAACCTGGCTGGCTCTGTTCACGGACACCTGAGCCTGCGTCAAGCACAGCACTTCTCCAAAGTGTCCCAAAAAATGGACAGTAGGGTAAAAGAGCTCCCCAGTGTTCCCATGGCAATAAAAACTACGGTGTGGTTAGAAACAACCCACCCATGTCAGACCTAAACCCACAGGAACCTCAACATTTGACCCCTTTATTTTTCACTCTTAATACAGGGAGAGCAGAGACTCCGTGTAAATCACAGGAAAAGAAAGTTTTTTACAAATAACCTGCAAACAACCCAGAGGAGAGGAAAGTCTCCACCTAAGACAGCCTTTGCTCTAAGGCTCCACAATGGCAGTGCCTGAGGCCACCCAGCACAGAGCCCCAGCTCACACAGAGCCCTCCACGGCCACCTCCCAGAGCCACGGGGATGTGCAGCTGGTGCTGGAGTGCCCTGCCTGAGTGACCTGCTGCTGCCAGAGCTCTTCTGCAGAGGACAGACAGAGCTTTGGGATGAATCATACCACGATATGTAGGCAAAGTCCCATTAATGGAACCACTCGGAGGCACTGCAGCTCCTAGTCAAGTACTGGGAGCTGGAAGCCATATTTATGAGTGAGATATATCCGCAGAGGGAGCAATAAACTGCAAAGCAAAGTATGAAGGTTTGCAGCAAACGCTGTAAAGTTTTACACTCCCGAAAACTGGGAATAAAAGATGTACCCATTTAAAGCAGAGTGGATGGAAGGGGTTTGCACAGGACTATAAAACAGCCTTATAACAGTTAATTGCTACTTTCTTGTTGCAGCCCAGAGAAAAGAACGGCTTAAATCCCTGTTGGAGAGTGGGAGCACAGAAAGGAGAGTGAGAAGCAGGGAGAGGAGCGCAGGGAACGGGAACCTTTTGTTTGGGATCCTCTACAGCACGTAGAGAAGAGACGCCTTTTGTTCCCAGCAGCACTGGGCTGCTCCCGCTCCCCTCCTTGGGCAGAGCCTCTGGGGAGCCAGGCCTGGGGCAGGGGCCCAACAGCATGACCAGCTGTTAATTACACATCCCTTAACTAAGATCCCATTGATGCCCATGCAACACTCAGCCAAACATCTGACCTGGGAGGAAAGGGCACAGCAGCGGGTGCATTCCTCTGACTCTGACAGGAACCTTGAAGCACAGCATTTCTGACCTCAGAAATACAGGGGAAAACTCTAAATGTTTTCTGCAACCACCAAAAGAACCAGCTGCCTTCAACCAACCCCCACAAAAGCACCCTCAAAGAACACCCATCCTTACCAGAGCACCTCCCCAGGCCAGTGTTCCACCACACAAGCTGCCTGCTTCCAAACCTCCTCTGGGATGACAACAGGAGCCATACTCGGGCAGAGGCCATGTAGAGCCCAAGCCAGCAAAGCCCTGAGGTGCTGCAAACACCAAAATCCCACCCCTCTCCAGCTCCCTCTGCCCTTTATAATCTCCCAGCTGCTGCACAGGTGAGGGGACAAGACCAAGGTGCTCCCCCATAGGCTGGGAGAGCTCCCTGCCTCCCTCCCCAGCCTTCTGCAGGTGCTGCTCATTTTTCCTGTGGTTTTTCCTCCCTGCAGTGGCAGATTTTGTGTGATACCCAGGAAAGCAGAGCCGTGCATTCCTCCCTATAAACACTGAGATGCTGTTTCCACCCATCAGAGCAGCACTTAGGGGGAGATGACAATGGAGTTCGTGCAGCCCTAATCACACACTTTGATTGAAATAAGAGTACGAGGGGAAATGGAAATCAGATGTCGAGCCAAGCTCTCATGGAGATGGGAAGCTGCAGCGTCAGAGCCATTCTGGGCGCTGCCACAGGGGCTGGCTCTTTGGGCTGACCTAATCGTGGCCTTCTAGTGCCTGAAGGGAGCCTATGCAGAGTTTCTACTCTTTGCAGCCTGGAGTGACATGACAAGGGAGAAAGGCTTCACACTGACAGAGTAGGTTCGATTAGGTATTAGGAAGAAATCTTTCCCTGTGAGGGTGGGCAGGCCCTGGCACAGGCTGCCCAGAGAAGCTGTGGCTGCCCCTGGATCCCTGGAAGTGTCCAAGGCCAGGTTGGATGGGGCTTGGAGCAGCCTGGTCTGGTGGAAGGTGTCCCTGCCATGGCAGGCCAATCCCAGGACATCCTACCATTCTATGATTCCCAGGACCAGGCAGTGCCAGGCTGGCAGTGAGGGCAGTAAGCCTTGCCAGCTCGGAGATCCTCTGCCACTCCTGCTCAGAGGCCTCTGGGTGCTGACAGTTCGTGCTTTTATTCCCAGATTATGTCATTCAGTGACAAAATGAGGCTCTAAGGATGGAAAGCCATGCACTGCACCTAGAAATACCCCTGGGTCAGCTTGCCTGGCCAGCATGGCTCTCGCAGGGCCCTGTGTCTCAGTGCTGCAGTAGCAGGGAGCACTGGTCGTTGATTTTCCTGTCAGAAGAAAACCTCTTTTTCATGTTCATCTTTCTAGCTGACGTCCTTTTTACGCCTCACACGCTCAGCAGAGGGTTTGGCAGCGGCAGGTCTGGCTCGGTGAGGGGATTTGTAAAGCAAACGCACCTTGGATCTACACTCGCACTTATTAGTTGGACGATGATGCCGCAGCTCCTCTGCTGTCACTCCTAACGATGGATCCTTAAGAAAGCAAAGGCCAATTATACAGGTTTGGAGTCGGTAATGAGCCTCGAGCCGTTTGATCGTTCCGGCTCCAGCCGGGCGAGCGGCAGGAGCTCGGGCAGCCGCGGCGAGCAGCGCGGGGCTCTGCTGCCTCTGCGCGGCCGCGCCGGCGAAGCAGCGGCCCCGCGGGGCCCAGCCCGGCTGCCGGGGCCGCAGACCCGAGCTGCTCCCCAGAAACACGGGAGCAGGCGAACACGGGAGCAGGCGAACACGGGAGCAGGCGTAGGCGCTGTGAGGAGGGCTGACGGTGCCGGGCTGCGCGGCACGGCCGGGGCGAGCAGCGGAGCCGGCTCCCGGCAGGTGGGAGCGCCGGCTCTCTTCGCGGGGACGGAGTTTTACCAGCAGGACTTCGACCCTTGGGAGGATTGGAAAGAGTTTCACAGCACGAGGAGCAGCCGGGGAGGGGCAAGCGCGTTCACGATGCAGAACTCGAGGATGCTGCAAAGAATGTTCTGCTCAGTGAGCAGCCCCGAGGCGTTCGGAGCTGTGGGATGGCACCGCTCCTGGGCTGCCCCGCAGGAGCGAGCCGAGCGAGGCACAGACCCACTCCTGCCCCGTCAGGGACACAGCTGCCCCGTCAGGGACACACACCTGCCCTGTCAGGGACACAACTGCCCTGTGAGGGACACTCCTGCCCCGTCAGGGACACACTCCTGCCCTGTCAGGGACACTCCTGCCCTGTGAGGGACACTCCTGCCCCGTCAGG